GCTTTTCTTTGTAAAAACTTCAATTGAATTTCAATAAAGTTAAAGGCATGGCCTCATCATTAATATTTAAAAAAAAATACAAAATAAAAAATAAAAATAAATATAATTGTTCAGAAGAGTATAAAAAATTCTATTTCTAGTACTTTAACCAAGGGCCTTACAAGACTTGAATCCTAGCAGAAAGCTCACCCTAACCTGTCTCAAATGTACAACCTCTACAGTCTGGTAAAATGTTTTAGACTATTAATTCATACCAGAAATATTACAAAATTTCAAATCTGTATCCTTTTTGGAGATCATTAGGATACTTAAAGTGTCTAATTAAATGCTAGGATTTTGTGTAATTTGCAATCATATGAATTACAAATCTTAACTATTCTAAATTTATTAAATCAATTTCTAATTAATTTCTAAATTTGGTAAATTAACTTTTCATTAATGTCTAATTTTGTTTCACTATTGTCTATTAAAAATTATAATCTATTTGTCACTCCTCTTTTTTTTTTGTAAAATTTTTATAACAATCTCAACAAAATCAACAACAACAACTTCAATAATAATAATAGTAATAATGCCTCAACAAAGTCTCTCTGGAAATGTTTGTCATGCTCATCGAAATGATAATAATGCCTTATTTGAGGCTTTAAAGATAGTTCAAGTTGAGAACAGGCAATAATATTATCTTTAAAATTTTCTTGTTTTCTCTTCTTCTTTTTTTTTTTGTCACTTAACAAAACTTGGTTACAGTTTAAATTAGTTGGTAACCTCTTTAAGAAGAAGAATACAGAGCTTAGAGACGGAGTTAAAAGAGTTGAGAGTGAATGCAATTGCAAGGATTTAGGATGGTTAGATGTTGGAGCAAAGGTATACTTGGTTATTAGAGAAAAGAAATCAGTTGAGGGCAAGGTTGGCAAATGATGAGAAGGAGTTAAGAAGATTAAGAGCAGAAGAAAGAAGAAGAGAAAAGGATAATAATAGGGATAGAATGTCAAGTGTTGGTTTTTAACTTTGCTATATATATATTATATATTTTTTTGTCTTTTCTTTTTTTTTTGTATATATTTTTTTTTTTGTTATTATTATTTTTTTTTTATCTCTTTTTTTTTTTTTTTTGTTTTTGTCTATTTTTTTTTTTAATAAAAAATATGAATATAATATATAAATAAAATAACTAATAATAATAATAGATTGGATTAATTATTTGTCACCAAACTATATTACATAGATAGTATTCTGAGTAGTTATTAAATTTTAAATAATATTTTGAGGAGGGGGTTTCTAAAGAAAGAAACCACTAAGGTTTATCAACTAATACTACTTCTATGTTAAGATCATTGGTATTATCAAATTCTGTATTACTAAAAGTATTCATCTCTTTATTAGGATTATAATCATTTAGCAGATACTGGTTATTATTTTCTGGTCTTATAAAAGTATTTTCAATTAGGATGTTATCAATGAGGTTTATTTCAGGTTGGGTTTGGTTAACTTCTTCAATAAGATTATTCCAGGTATCATAGTTTTTATTATTAGGTATAGGTCAGTAACATTTAGCAATTTTTTTTAGAGAACATTATTTAATAGTATGCCATAATCAGAGGTCAATATGATATTTGAAATATTCATCAGATAATGAATAAAGTTTATCTCCACACCAATATTGAGCTGTTTGTCCTTTCCAATCTTTATGCCAGTCTCTTCTATTAGATTTTTGAGATAGTCGAGTACTAATATGTTCAATATAGAACCAAGTATAATGCATTCTTCCATATTAGATTCCTTCTTAACTAAATTCCATATTTGGATAAGGTTATAAGGAGGTGATAATATATTTAGATAGGGTTGGTGCAAGGGTTTCTATTATGTTTTGATAATCGAATGGGTCTATTGTATCTTATATATTTGTAGAAGTTTCTTCAACATCTTCTATGACAGTTATATGAAAGATTTTAACTTTTTTATCTTCAATTCTAAAAACAAGAATTTGTTTTGAAAAGCATCTAATAATGATATTTAAGGAGGTTCTTTTAAAGGTTGCTTATATAGAACAATTTCTTTTACATTGATAGCAGGTAGATTGAGAGTGTAGGTGAATATATTGACACCAGCATTGGGTATTGGGGCCTTTCCAACTAATTGGGTATTTATTCTTTCCAGTATTCTTTCTATATTTTTAAGAGAGTTATTGAATATAATTCCAATTAAATAATGATCCATTATCACATTTAAAACCATTAGAGAATATTTCAAGTTTGGTATAGGGTTTGGTATTCTGTTCTGTAATAGGAGGTAGGTTTGGTCTCAACATAGTAGCTAATTGTTCAAGTTATTGGTTCTGGTACAAAGGAGATTCTATTCTTACTAATTTTCTTCTGTTAATATAAAGTGGTTTCTTGATAGCAGTTTGTATAGATAGCTAAAGATACTATATTTCTAATAATATCAACAATATTTCTAGGAGAACTAGAATATCTAAAACTAAAAATAAGTTTAAAGATAGTGTTCTTTAATTGAGATAGATTATATTGGATATAAATTTATTTAATTTGATTGAAATATTCTATAGCTTTGTCAAAGAAGTCACAAGCAAAGTATTGTTTAGTATACCAAAAGTAAAAGTTTTGAAAATTAGGAGGTATATTTGAAATTATAGAATAACAAATTTCACAAGAATCATTTAATTTAGTGATAGATAACTGAGTAGTATGTTTTTTGGTATGTAAGAATACTTTTAATAGGTATTTTTCAAAATTAAATTGCATGTACTATTTATTAGAAGCTGTTTGTCACAATGCAAACACTTATACTTTTATTTCTAAATTCTAATTTTTAGAAATCAATGAATATCTCTTTAATTTATTATGACAACAGGTTTTGTCACTTATAAGAAAGTTGTAGAGAGAGTTCTTCCAGTCCTAAAGGATATCAAAATGCTAAAAACGGTCCAGTGGTTACTGAGATATTGATGTTTAAAATTGGTATAATGATAGTCGAAATGTTTCTTCAAGAGGGGTTTCTTACAAATTCTTTGCAGATCAAAAATGTCATCACTACTTTGACATTGAATAGTGGGTTCCAGAGGGATTTTCTCACTAAGATTCGCTTAATAAAAAAGATACAGTAGATTTCAAGTATATACTCTTCAAATTTAAGATCAAATGGACCAATATTGATAGAGTTTCCTTATGACTAACTAAAATCAATTATCTACAGTAAATTGAGAACTTATCTCATAGTTACTACCAAAATGTTAACCTGTAGTTTTTCCTTTAATCACAGTAATAACAGAAGCTGCTCAACTATAGTATGATGACTATAACTTGACAGATTCTTTACAAAAGTCTACACAAGACTTAACACAATACAGAGTGATTTGGGATTTTAAGACAGAGGCAACAATATATAGTATATGAAGATACTAAATATTACATTCAGTTTATTAACTATGAAATATATGAAGACCAAAGATGCTTGATGAAATTATTTTTTAATTGACGAAAGGTTTCGTCAAATTACACATTTGATAAAACTTTGGTAATTAACGAAACTGTTGACAATTGATGAAACTGTTGACAATTGACAGAACAGTTGACAAAACTATATTATTGCATAAAAATAAAAAATTACTCTATAAAAAGATAATATATGACTTTATTTATTATCTTTTTAAATTTCTACATGTTTTTCTAAGTGCTATAGGTAAAGTTTCTACAACTTCATTTTCATTTTTTATAAGGTTTGAATTCTTACTAATAATATCATCTAAATTATTTTCATTCATTATAATATCCTCATTTATATTATTACTATTCTTACTAGTATTTATATTTTTATTATTTTCATCTATATCATCTATAATATCTATATTACTATTATTATAATAATTACTATTGTTATTATTTTCATAATTCCATTCTCTTACTAAATCTGTTGCTAATTTTGTAGGATCAAAATCAAATATACCTTGATCTTCTTTGCTATTAACAAACTTCTCACAGTTAAATTTATCATATTCTTCAACATCATAATTTTGGAATTCATCACTATCAACATCTGATTCATTATCTTGAAATATTTCATTATTTAAACATACTATGCTCTTTGAAAAATTACTTTATCCTTACCCCCAAATTTTTTCCCTTACATATTTTTCATGTAATCTCAAATCATTAACAAAATTGGTTTCATTTAATATTATATTGTGTAAATTTAATTTAACCAAAAAAGAATTTTCTTTGTTACAAATTAATTTGTATTAATTTACTAAAAATAAATTTTGTACTCTAGTATACAATAATCACTGTAATACATAACTAATTATAACTTTGTGTCACACAAGCCACACCAGCCACATTAGCCACATTAGCCATACTTGTGTTACTTAGATTACATAAGGTTACACAAGCCACAGTAAGCCACAGCAAGCCGCAGTAATACCCCTGCAAACTTAAATCCTACCCTGTAAAAAAGTTTATAATTATTATTTACTTTAAAGTCTTATATCTTTAAATCTTATTAAGTAAAATAAGCCTGATCTTTTAAGTAATCTTATCCAAAATGCCAACTTTAATAAGCTCCGAACTTGACTCTATTGATCTGAACTACTTCTATGAAAAATTTCCAAAAAGTTTTAGTATTAGGATCTATGAAGATATGCCAGAAATATCACGTCCAACACCTACAAACAAACAACCTAATAACTGCATTACTACAGAACTTAGAGACAGTATCAAAACCTGCCATTACATTCAAGCATCTGCTACTAGTATTACAGTTATCTGTTTATGTGGAAAATACCATACAAACTTCTATTCGAACAAAAATATCACCTATGAACAACATCAAAATATCACTATTATTAAAAAACTAAAAGACAAAAAATTATTCATAACAAATACTGTTAACTCTACAAATGTTATCCCACCATCTCCCACTTCCTCACATTCACCATCTTTATATCAACACACTTGCCCTAAATACAATCAACTTATCAATTGTAAAGTCGTTAATAACAGACATTACTTAGCTGCTAATGCTGAACTCTCTAATAACAAACCTTGTCACAAATCTTGTATTAACATCTAACCTGAACCTGAAACACAACCTATTACCAATTCAGAACAAGGACCTTCACATGCACTTCCAATTCATGAACTTGAATAATCTCTAAATGAATATCATAATAACAACCTACTCATTTCAGAACTTAAACCTTTAATACCTACTGATGAAAATACAACAAATAACATGACTACTAATGCTACTGATATGGATATTGATAGCTCTATTCCACCTGACACTAACTAACAACACCAACAATAATTAACACAACAACAACAACAACAAGAAGTACCTAAACAACAACAACAACAAGAAGTACCTAAAAAACCTAAACAACAACAACAACAACAACAAAAACCACATGAACAATCATAACAGTCCTATAGCCAAGCTGCAAGACCAAAACTCAACCCATTATTTGACTGGTTAGCAAACTTTCCAGTAACTAATGAAATGAAAATAATACTAAACTACAAACAGAAATTTCACACAACCTATTCAACTTCATCAAAAAACATCTATATAACTTCTATCCAGGAAAAATCATTAGAGAAGCAACAGAAAACTGCTATGTTCTTAAAACTAGCTTTTATCTTCTTATTCGACAAATAGCCAGTACTAAACCTAAATTTCTAACTAATTTAATCCAACAACATAATTCTAAAACTGATCAAGCTGCTACAATTCCATTCAATATTCTTGAGAAAACTCTCAAAAAGCTTATTCATATATTTACTATTGTACTTTTTATCAAGCTTAACTACCTAGAAATTTTTGCTTTACCTGCTACTGTTCTACCTCATAAAACCCAAAATCATTTACAATTCTGTATCAATTTAGCATGACTTTACTTATATTTATCAAACAACTATCAGACTATTAACTATACAAAATTTGCAGAAAACATCAAATTTAGACCAAAAAGATTTAAAATAACATCAAAAGTTACTAGTTATGACAAAAATCAACAATATCTCTCTATTAAAATGGATAACTGTTTTAATATCTAACTAGAATTTAATATTTCTAAAACCCTCTTTCTGAAGAAATATAATATTCTCTCATTAAAAAACTCACTCTTCCATTTCAATGAATGGTTCGAAAGAGTTTTTCCTCTATACAGTCGACAATTTACTACTGCTATTGATAAAACTAAAGTATCAAATTATCTAAAATACCAATTTAGACAACATTTTATTACACATCTTAAAGAACTTTTACCCACTAGCAACTCTCTCTGTAGATCACTTATACCAAACTACAAAAAAACTATTTGATTATTTCTCTACTTTTTACTAAGTAAACCTTACTTGAACTCTTAAGTAAAGTTGTTCAGTACACTTTTCTCCTCCTAGGCGGCTAAGTTTTATTTACCAATAATACTTGGTTACTGAGAAAATTTCTAAAAACTAAGTTTTTAGTTTTTGTTCGTTTACACATAATTTTACTAATTAAACCTAACTTCATTACTATTCAAAAGTTGTTCAGCTCACTGAGACGGACATTTT